TAGAGGTGTTCAAGACTTGACTGGACAAGGACCTGATTTTTTAGATCTGCTTTCAGCAGGGATTGGACTAAATGGCATCCAGAGGTCCCTCCCAACCTAAATTATTCTGTCACCCTGTGATTCTATGACTCTCCATGGAGGTGCACAGGGATAGGATTAGAGGCAACAGCCATAAGGGAAGGGAGAGAAATTACAATTAGATAAAAAAAATTTCAGCCCGAGGGTGTTCAAAGACTGAAAAAAAGAAAAAGAGAGAAGTTGTGGGACCTCCATTCATTGACATATTCACAACTGACCCAGACAGGACCCTAAGCAACCTATTCTAAGTTGTCCCTGCTTTGGCCTCGAGATCAGACCAGAGACATTCAGAGGTCCTCCTGGTCTTGGTTACCTTGTGTTTCTCAGGTTCTCTGAAAAGCCCCCTTCCCAGCCCTTATGCCTCTGTATTTCTGCAGGAGCACAGCCATGGCACCAGGCCTTGTGCAATATGCAGAACTGGCTGCAGCAGAACGTGTCTTGAGAAGCAACTTTGTAAGCTCAAAGAGCTATAGCAAAAGCCTGAGGGCCTATGGAGCATGAGAGACCCGTACAGCCAGCTAGGCAGGTGTGATTTGTTCTTTCAGGATTAACTGCTACTGTCATGGCCCTGAGTGCACCAGTAAGCCTTAGTGGCTGGTGACCAGTCCCACCTGGCACCTTCACCTGGGCCCATGAGGCCTGTTTCAGCTCGGCCCTGGACCTTCAGTCCTAACCTGAACCACACTGTATGAGTACTGGTCTCCAGTCCCCTTTCTGGCCTTGCTTTCTGGATGGATCTTAGACCTGCACTGTAGATAGCTTATTCCCTTGATGGACCACTCAGATCCATGTTGTAGCTTATCTCCAGCCCTGCCTTTTGCACTCTGTCCTTTTGTCCAGGATCTGGGACCCAGTTCACTGCTTGCCTTGCCTGGGGCTGTTGCCAACACTCAGCTCTGCCTGCTGTGCTCAGACCCAGCAGGACAGAGCCCCACCATCAAGGGCATTGCCTCCTTGGGGTGCACTCTTGGCTTCTGACTTGCCTGCCTGTGTGGAGCAGCCAGCCTTTGCTGCTCCCAGAGAGCTTGCTCATGCCTTCGTTCTCTGCCCTTGAGTCCTGCATGGTGCTCCCTTCTCTGCCTCTCTGGAATGGTTGTCCTCAGCTCTGCTTCCAACTCATATCTGCTCAGAGGTCCTCTTGCAGCTGTCTTCTTAGAAAGAGGTCCCACATCGGCGTGATTTAGAAAATCTTTGTTTGATAACTTTGAAGACACCATCCACTGGAATATTTGAGCTAAAGTCAAAACTGGGGTCTCTGCTGGTCTGTAGATAAGCTGTCCTGTTGACACATTGTTTCTTTGAAGGAAATACTATTTGCATCTATTTGGAGCAGCCCAGTGGAGCCTGCTGTACACAGGGGCAGGGGAGGACTTCCTCTGCATGATCTGTGGGGCCCATGTTCCTGCTGCACCTGGAAGCCCTGTTGCCACCAGTGATCCCAGTGCTGGCTCACCAGCAGAAGCTTGCCTGCCAGACCTGGCACAGGCACCCCACCCCACCCCAAGGCATTGCATTGCTCAGTGCTGGCATTAGCTCTGGGGGCACCTCATGGGAGCCCGTAAGTCACTCAATTCCTCTGCCCCCACAGAAAGAGGATGTGGCCTCTCTGCCTGGGGTCCCTCTTCCCAGGGCCGCTTGGGCCTTTCTCCCTCCATAGGCTTGAGAGTGCTGCTTTTATGATTCTCCCAAACTAAATGAGGCTGTGGACAAGAGCTCCCAACCTCTAACCAAGCAAGCAGGGGTGACATCTAAGGATTCAGACGAAAGGTGATCCAGGGATCCCTTACCCCGGCGAGGTCTGGATGCTGCTGTCCATCCAGGCCTGCGAGTTGCACTGCTTCATGTGGGCTACTGCAGTACAGAAAGTTTGATGGGAGCCTCAGCTTGACACTGGCTTGCTGTGAACATCAGGTTTAAACCTGTGCCATGAAGAAGACATCTGGTCAGTAGGCTACTGAAAGCAACACAGGAGAAGAAAGTAGAAAGGCCACATCTTTATTCTCTTAAAATTGGCTTGACAAAGTGATGGAGCTGTCTGCACCTTCTGGCATGAAGAACAGCCCTCCCAGACAATCTGTCCTGAGACCATTTTGCTCTCATAGAGAGAGCAACCCCTGGTCGACATTTCTGGGGCTGGGGGCAGATCTGCAGGGTCACACCAGGCCAAAGACAGGGATTGGGAAGGAGAGTGGCAAAGGGACCCATGGGCACCTGTTTGTTACCTGGAGCCCTTGCTCTCTACTTAGAGCATGCAGATTGGGGTGCCAGGGGACATTGTGTATACAGTGACTTCTGGCTGCTGGACACTGGTTCCAGCCTAATGACTTAACTCATTGATCCTGAAACCTGCCAATGGAGAGTTAGCAAGCAGGCACGTCTCTTGAGGACCTGTCCTCATCTTTCCAAGGTCACCTTTGGGACTGGGCACATAGGAGACCTAATCTCTCCTCCTTTTCTAGTTTCTGGGTGTATGTCCTTGTCCTTAAAAAGCTGGGTCTCTCCAGTTTGATCATGGCTGTCCAGAATCTGCTCCAAGTGGGCAATTCACATGTAGTGTTTGTGTAGCTGGGAGTGTCAATAATTGAAATCCCTCATCATGGAGGGGATTATTTTGTACTTCTCTGGCTGGAAGGGCATGCCTCCTTCCTCTCAGGGGGTTTAGTTGTGCTGTCATGGGATCTGAAAACTGCTCAAGTCACAATCTGGAAGTGCGTCCTTGTGCCTCTACAAACAACAAGTGTGAACAGAAGTGGGTGTGTGCAGTGCCTATAAAGTCACCGTGGAAAGCTTGGCATGGGAGGGTGCACCACAGGATTCCTGCTCTCTGCTCAGCTGTGCTGTTGTGATGGGTGAGTTATCTTCCCAGCTGCACACTTCATTCATGTGTGGTGCTGGGCTCAAACAAGACCTGACCAGGGTGAGTATACAAAGGCACAAGATGACTAGCTGGACAGCAGCCATGATCTTGCCTGGGTGATAAATGCTGCACCCTGGTAGCAGAGGGGATGCAAGACCAAAGCACCAAATGACACACATGCTTGGTGCCAGCCTATGCTTTCCCCAGGCTACCTATGCCCTGTATTCCCATGTCCTGTCAAGGGAAGTTAATGTGGAGACCTAGATTTCAACTTGGTCCTTTCCCTTCCTGACCAATGCATGTGGCATATGTGGTTGCAAAGGGGTTCTTCCCCAGGCATCTCCCCCAGTAATGGAGCTAGTGCAGGGTGTAGGGGTGTGCTGGTGGCCAGCACAGAGGGTTTGGGCTTGTGTCACTGTGTGGGCCCAGGAGACTTCCTCCTGTCTGCTTGGGAGGTGGTATCTGTGCAATAGGACCCACCCTTTGGATCTGGTTTCCCACTAGCTGTCATTGGGCTGGAGTGGCTTATATAAAAGGCTTAAGCATGACTACTCCAAAAAGAACTGTAATCCTCCCTTCTGGCAAACTACTCTCCCCAGATCTAGCTGTGTCATTGTCTTCTCCTAGCTACTCTTGGGTTGTAGGTTCTGAGAACAGATCTCCAGGTTGCTGTCTGGTGCAGGGAAGGTGCTGATCAGGAGGATGACGAAGCCATTTCTCACCTTGCTTCAGCCCTGCATGGGCAGAGCCTGCACCAAAGCTGCAGCTTCTACCACCCTGGGAGCCCTATGCTCCTACCTGCACCCCGTGGCTCTGCCTTCCTTGGTCCGAGCTCTCTGGGGGCTGTTGGCAGGGGCAGAGGGGGCTGCCCAAGGATCCTAATGGTGCTGGGCCCTTTCCTCCCCAGGGCACCAGGCTGGGACAAGTTTGCTCCGTGGGGACCTTGTCCTCCTACCCACAGTGGTGGCAACGCTTCTCCTCTGTGCAAGTGCTGGCCCAGCAGTACCCACTGCCAGCTCCCGGAGTGGTGAGTATGTAGTGGGTGGGGGGCACTGGCTGGGCACCAAGGTGCAGAGCAAGAAAGTGTCTCCCTAGCTCAGCACTGACTCTCAGGTCTGCTAAGTGCTAGGAAGGCCAGCATGCACCCCGGCTGATGCACAACACAAGAACTCCTCATACACACAGACCCCTGGGCCATGGCTTGTAAGGTAAGCAGCCTGACACCTGTCAAGCCATCCTCACCCCTTTGGTGGCTCCAGACTGAAACCAAGGGGTTTCTGCCCAAACATCATAACTTGGCAGGATTGCTCTGTGGTGTTTCTGTCTTTTTACACTTCAGTTCTAGGAGACATCCTCCCAGCAATTTTTTTTTTTTTTTTTAGCTTGCGTTGCTCCTGCAAGGGAGGGTTACACTCCCTGCAAGACCTGTGTGCCCCCAAAAAACAGAATTTCATGGGCTGAATTGGAATTCCCACAGCAAATTGTCCCTCATTAGACACAAAACAAGAAAAACAAATTACACAGCAAATTAGTTTGGCAAGTAGGTCATGACAGATCAGTCCTGCTAACAGATAAACTGCAACAAGCTGGGGGAAGAGGTCCCTGCAAGATCGAGGTAGAACTTAGCCTTCTTTTGCAATGCCAGGACCCCCAGGGAAAACATAAATTTTCGTTACACATCCTCATCCAGTGGAGCATTTTGGACACTTCTGATCCATGCAAGAGCTGTACCTCAACATATCAAGGGCCTTGTGTGAGGGCCAGATATACTTGGAGGACATCGCTGGCATCTGGAAGATTTTTTTCCCCTCTTTTCTTGGCCAGATGCATTAGAAGGCTCCAAATGAAATAGCAAGTCACGAGAAATAGATCCTAGGGCTTTTACCAGGGCCACTGTCTTAGACACCTTCAGTTGCCCTGTGGATGAGCCAGTGGAAAAGCCACTCTACACTGTGGAGTAGACCACAGATAAAACGAGCCCTTTTTGTCCTGAGTCCTCACTTCCCTACAGGAACTCCTTGTTGCCCTGACAGAGTCATATGATCTTTCTCTCTCCCACCCCAACCTGTGTTTGCCACTGCTGCTGTTGCAGGGTTCCCTGCAGACTGCAGCCATCTCCGCAAGACCAGCCCCAGCGGGGTGTACGTCATCCAGCCGGCAGGGTCTCCCCCACGCGTGGTGTGGTGCGACATGGACACTGAAGGCAAGGGCTGGACTGTTGTCCAGAGAAACTCTCATGACACTGAGCTCACATGGAAGCAATCCTGGACCACCTACAAGTACGGCTTCGGGAACGTTCAGGGCGATCACTGGTTGGGCACCGAGTACCTGCACCTGCTGACACAGCAGGGCACCTACAAGGTCCGCTTCATCGTACGGAATAAAGCCAACGTCACCCATTATGCTGAGTATGACATCTTCAGGGTGGAGAGTGAGGCTAGTGGGTACCCACTGAGGCTGGGCCGGTTTTCTGGTGATGGGGATGACTATCTGACCAGCTATCACCCCAAGAAGGGGGGCATACATGACAACATGAAGTTCAGCACGACCGACAAGGACCAGGACCAGTACAGTGGGAACTGTGCCAACAGCTATGGGGGCTGGTGGTACGACAGGTGCCAGAATGTCCTGCTTAATGCCAAAAAACACATCCTTTGGCCAGGATTCTGCGATAATGGTGACTGCACATCCTCCCTCATCCTGGTCAAACCCACAGATGTGTGCTGACCGTGCCGCAGCGCCCAGCCTCCCAGGAGTTTGGGGGAGTGCCACCATCCCCAGCTCAGCGCCCCATTCCTGTGCCTGCCAACAGCCCTGTGCCAGTCCCAGTGCACCTCCTGCACTGCCTGCAGCACCTGAACCATCACCAGCTGAAACACAGCAGCTCTGGCTCAAGAGCAATCGCCTGGAGCTCCGGGCACACGGGCAGCTTCGCCCAGTGCCGCAGTGCTGGCTGGCACTGGGACGCAGGCACTGGTTTGGGGTAGGTGTGCCCACTCCTGTCCTGGAGAGGGGAGACAGTGAAAGTTCCCTTCCCTGTGCAATTGGTGTCTCTCTGCTTTGCTCAGACCCTGCTCCCTCCCTGGGCCCCATATGCCCCACAGCTCTGCTACCCATGGTGGGAGAATTCAGCTGCAATAAACCCTGGAGCCAGACTTTGCTGCCTTGTGTCTATCTGCTGCTGCGACACTGCACATAAGTGTTGGGTGATCAACCTGTCCAGTCTCTGGGGTGGTGGACCTGGGGGAAAGTAGGTGTATTATGCAGGTCCTCTCCTGGGCAAGGAGACACACCTGCCCAAGATGTGCAGAATTTGCCTCCCCCAGGGCTGGCATGGTGGCTGCTGGTTTCAAGATGATTTGCTCAGGCAGTGCTGGGCCAGGGTCAGCTGTAGAGCTGATTCTGCTCCCAGGCTGAGCTGGTGCAGAGCTGGTGTGGCATGCGGGAGTTTTGTGCTGATTTTTCTTTTTTTTTTCTGAAATACTTCAATGTTCCATAGTGAAAGGCCTGGCACCAATTCTCCCTGCTGCTGACTGACCCCAGCATCAGCCTGTAACATGAGCTTTTCTCCCTTTGGTATGGTTGTACACAGCTTAGAAAAGCTGTTGTACCTAATTCTGCCTGTGGTTTGGTTCTCAGGTCTCTGGATGCAATATTGCCTCCAATGGCTTGTTGCAGCCACTGCGCACTGAACTGTGGCTGTAAGGCTACAACTAGCCAACAGGGCCAGCAAAACCCTTGCTTACAGTTTGCCCCTGTCCATGGCTAGGTAGTTGCTCTGTGCTGGGAAAGGGCAGAAACCAGCATGGATAGGAGTGTGGAGAGGGTGGTGGGCTCCCTGAGGGCATGAGAGATGCAGGTCACTCAGTCCCATTGTGCTGTGCTGCAGAGCGGGAATGTGGCTATGGATCTCCTTTGTGATGCAGAGAAGTTTGAACTTAGGGCTTGAAAGAAGCCACAGTTCCTCTCCTCTGTCTTTGGAAGAAAAGCTGAGCTCAAGGAAGGCTTGTGGCTGTGAATCTTGAACAACTTGGGACTCTCAGGCCAAGACCTGTGACAGAGGTCCCAGGGCACCTTGCAGAGCTATGGCAGTGCTGTGTTCCTGAAGAGGTTGCACAGGCAGCCTTGGCTGCCCTGGAGGCAACTGTGGGCCTGCAGCCCTGATATATGGGGAGTTGAATGTATGAGGGTGCTGCTGGTTGAGAAAGGCTTCCCAGTTTAAGCTGACTTGAGAGTAGCATTTCTGGACTGAGAGATATGCCTGGGGGCTTAAAAAGTCATTTGCACTCCAGCCTGGATGTACAACCTAACTGGAGAGGGGAGGCTTGACAGAAAAGGGTTTGGGCTTCCTGGTAAACGGCAATTTGCCCAGGAGTCAGCAATGCACCCTTGCAGTGTTGAAGGTGAACTGCATCCTAGGCTGTATTAGCAAGAGTGCAGCCAGCAAGACATCACCCTCCTCTGCCCAGCCCTGGAGACCATATCACAGGTACCATGGCCACTGTTGAGCTATCCAGTGCACAGAGATATCACCACACTGGAGCAAGCCCATATGGACCCAAGCTGATCCAGGCCTCTTCAAATTCCGGGACCCCTGCCATGTCAGGCTGCCTCAGCTCTTAGACTTGCCCCAGATATCCCAACCATGCAGCACTGTGTGGCCTGGCAGTGCTGTTGTCCCTTTCTTCCCTGCCCACTCTTCCAGTTACCTTCCAAGGCCTGGACCAGCATTCACAAGGTAAACAAGGCAGGATGATGCTGGCCTGGCCTGCTGTCTCTGGTTAGCTCCAGGTCACGGCTGGTAGGGCTGAACTGAGCTGATGCTTCCCTCCTACCCTCAGTGTTTGCACTTGGCCATGTGGTACTGCATTCCCTTTTGGAAAGATCCACACCTTAAAACCCAACTCTCTTCTTTAAGTGAAAGTCTTGTCTCTAATACCTCATTTGAGTCTTACGAAAAATTTTCCCTTGAAAGTCTTTTCTTATTGCACCAGGAGCCTCAGGTCTGCTTCTAGCAAGAAACTGGCAGCAGTTGTGAGAAGATCCCAAACAAATGAGGGACATTTGCACATGTCTGCAGGTTCTGAAAGCAATTTTATTCTGCAGGACGAACACAGACTACAGCAGGGAAATGGTGCATACATGGCCTGCCTGGGCTCAGAGCAACTTAGATCAGGTTAGCTAGTGATGACTGATACTTTTCTGCTGAAGTCATCTATACCTGCAAAGAAAAAAGAGAGTAAGACCTTGCTGGATCAGGAGGGCCTTGGATTTCTCAGCACAGTTTTCTCCCCAGAAGGAACATGTTTGGAAATCACAGCATTTATAAAGACTTGTTCTAATGATGATCCCTAAAAACCCACAAGATGTTAAAGGCCAGAGACAAAGCAGGGAGCTTTGCTACTTTTCAAGAGAAGAGGAAAAGAAAACAGCTCTTGATATACAGTAACAACCCTGTTCACCCCCAGCCCCCCAGCCAGCAAAACAGGCCCCAGCAGGGCACTGCTCTGGCCATGTGCCCAGTGCAGACAGGAGGGGGAAAGAGTACTAATGGTACGGAGCTGGTTTGATGAGGGTGGCAGAAGCCTTGCAGTTCCCGTTGCACAGGCTGCCCCAGGTTATGCCCCGCCTTGATGTTCAGCCGTACAGAATAACACACTGAGTACCACCACCCACCACCAGAGTGGGAGGAACAGTTCCCTCTGTAAGTGTCCTGATCCCGATCTTTTATTGAGAACTTCATGTTGTTGTGCACATTCCTGGGATTGTCTGAGTCCATGGCATCCTCCGCTGTCCCCCAGTACGTTCCCAGCCTCAGCCAGTAGCCATGGGACTCATCTTCCAGGCTGAAGAGGTTGTAGTCTGCAAACCTGATGTTTGCAGCATCCCAGATGACAAACCTGACCTGGTAGACCTTCTGCTTGGAGATCTGATGGATGTACTCAGTGCCCAGCCAGTACTTGGTGTGCAGGTTCCCAAAGCCGTACTTATAGGTGCTCCAGCACTCAGCCCAGGTGATCTCTGTGCTCTGCCAGTTCCTCTGGATGACCGCCCAGCCCCTGTCCGTCACATTCATTTTGCAGTACACCACAGTGGGGTGCAGTCCTGTGGGCTGGATGATGTAGATGCCACTGGGGCTGCCAGCAGAGACCTCACTGCAGTCCCTGGGCCAACCTGGGGCAGGAGAGAGGGTGATTTAACAAAAGCTTGTGCAACAGGACAACGCCATGTTTCACCCTGTGGCAGGACAGAGGGACATTTGGCCAGAGTACCTGGGGGATAATCATCTGTCCCAGCCCAGAGAAGTCAATGTGCTTGGCTGGAGGTAAAAGTGGGTTGGCCTTAGCCCTCTGTTCCTCTTCCATATGGGACACCTAACAGGAGGTAGCCCCAGTGAAAGGCTCCAGACCCCCTGGGCTGTGCTGGTATCAGTCCAGAAGGCTGATATGGACACTAGTGGGCTCCTTTGGGTCTCCTGAGAAAGGGGTTGTGTCACTAAAGCAGGGTCATGCTGGGGAGGAAGGTGAGAGGACCTTGCCCCTGCCTGTGACTGAGGGAACAGGAAAAAAATGACCCCTTCAAGCACACAGACACACTTATCAGTCTGCACAGTGCACACACACACACATACATACACACGCACAACACTGCAGCCTGCATTGCGTACACCTCCTCACATCCACCATCCTCCATCCTGGAGCAGGCCAGGGCTAGGGATCATGTAGGGTCCTTCCCCACCCAGAGCTGGCTGTACATAAGCACACAACACTGGAACCCCCCTGTGCTGGCAGGTGTGGTCTCCCCATGTCTTCAGCTCGCTTGCTGAAGTAGGACTTCCCACTACAGTTAAGTCATCCTGCCAGATGGGCAGAGCTTCTCTCCCCATCTGAGCAGAGGCTGGGGTTGATGCCGCGTCTCCCCAGCCCACCTGCCTGTACACACCATGGAGGTGTTTTTTGGATCTGAGGCATCATAGCACACCCTCTCCCAAGTGTCATTTTATCCAGCCTCCACTGGCCCAGAGCATGGGCTAGGGCTGTTTACCAGCCAGGCCTGACCCAGACCAAGGAACTGAAAGGTGTTGGTGAGAGCACTGCAATGCCCACAGGATGCTACATACTGGTTTTCTTCAGAGCACTCACCAAAGTGTTGGAGGGAGATTTCCTGAAGATATTTAGGGTTTGTATATGTATGGAGTGGCCTGCAGCAGCCAAGACCAGCACACAAGCAAGGAGCAGAAGGCACTGGGCTGCTAGAAAGGGAAAAGATGGAGAAAAGATGAAACATGACCCTCCTTCCAGAGAGGCAGGAAATCCCACGGCTCTAGTGCTGCACAGTGTAACACAACCATGTGAGATGCAGGAGTGCACCAAGCATGCTGAGCAGCACCAGACTAGTCTGTGCAAGCTGGAAAGCTTGCCAAAAGGCCTCAACTTTTTTGCCCAAGGGGTAGACAACCTTGCCTTTTCCCCTTGACCAGCTCCCAAAAAGTCATGCATGAGATGATAGTTTTGGGTGGAGGAAAGCACCCCAAACCCGACTGAGCCAAATTTCCTCCCTGGCCCCTGAAACAGGGGACTGGCTGGGGTGAGCTAGAAGGCAGGGCACAAGCTGCTGGTGTTCAAAGGGGTGGCAGGTGAGCATGCCCTTAGAGGGCACTGATGCCACTGCTCCCCATCAGTGTGCGAGGACCAGCGCATGGAGCCTCTCCCTATTGCTGGGCTGCCATACCTGTGCTCCTCCCATTGCTAGCAAGGAACCCTCTGCTTCCTAGCCCTGTACTCACCCATGGCGTCCACGCTGGAATGCTCTCTGGAGTGCAAAACTGTGGAGCGGCAGGTCTCACAGAGGCATTTGTAGGGCCCTCTGCAGTGGGCGGTCTGAGTGGGTCCTACCCCCTCTCCCAGATTCCTTTCTCCCGGAGGAGGAAATCAGGCTGGATTTCCTTTGTGCCCCTAGAAAACACAAGCCAAGATGAAGGTGCCTGTGGTTCTAGGTGCATAGCTTCCTGAGCTGCAAAGAAAATAAACCCCTTGCCAGCAAGAGTCCTTGGAATGGTCTTTTGTGTGAGTGCTTAGCTCGTTGGCTGGAATTTCCCCTGGGAACTATTCGGGAGCTTTGAAGAGTGCAGCTCAGTAAAGAAACACTTGAATGCCAGTCACCAACAAGTGTGGAGAGCAAACACTGGGGATGTTCCTGCCTCCCACCATTACAGCAGGGTGCTGCCAGATCAGTTGGTTCTTGTTTAATGTGCTTTTGACAAGCCCAGCCTAGCTCTTGGTGGGGAAGTCGGAGCAGGCCCAAGACTCCCAGAAAGACTGCCTGTTGTGGGACAGTATTTGGAGCAGCTGGTGTTTTCTGGACTGCATGACAGCAGATGGAGGATTGTGACAGAGGTGATCTCCATCTGGGGGAAGCAGGAGAAGTCTCTACTCCCCAGTGGGCCACAGTCCTGATCTGGAAGGATACAGCTGATTTGGCCTGCTGAAAGACACTGGCTAAAATGTTTCTGTAGACCAGTTGAGACGGCTGTGGTCTCTGGGGCATTGGTTTTTGGAGACTGATCATGCAGGATGGATGGCTACAGAGGAAAGCAAGTGTCTGCCCAGGAATTGAGCAAAACTAGGTGGATGGAGGGCAGCAATGGGGATCTGAGCATGTACAGTGGGGAATGGAGGGGTCTGAGCATGCACAGAGGGGAAAGCAGAAATCTTGACCCTGTGTGCATAAAGAGGAAATGGAGGCAATCTGAGGGTGCATGGAGGGAAAATAGAGGGGAGCTGAGGGTGCATAGAGGGTCTGGAAGGGATCTGACAGTGGAACCCATAGGAAATGAGCACCCACAGAAGGGACGGGTGGGATCTGAGTGTCGATGGAGGGCAACAGTGGGAATCTGAGGGCACTTGTGGAAAAAAGGGATGTGAGTGTGCACAGAGGGGAGAAGCCAGCACTGAGCAGATGCTGAAGGGAACAGAGGAGATCTGAGTATTCAAGGAGGGGAACAGAGGAGATCTGGGTGCATACAAAGGGAAATGGAGGATGCTTGAGTATGTAAGGGAGGGACTGGAGAAGATCTGTTTATCCAAGGAGGACAACAGAGGGGTTTCAAGAGAGCAAAATGAGGGGAATGGAGAGGATATGAAAGCAGCTGGATAGGAATGGAGAGCATCTGAGAGTGCTTGGAAGTGAACAGAATGAGTCTGCGGGGATCTACAAGCACCCAGAAGGGAACAGAGGGAATTTGAAAGCATGTGGAGAGGCATGGTTTGGATGTAAGGCACACAGAAAGGATGGTGGGGACTCGGGGCTGGAGATCTGAGCATGCATGGATGGGAACTGTGGGGTTCCAAGGCACAGGTGGGGGAGCAGAGAGGATCTACAAGCACTCAAAAAGGAATGGGGGGTAATTGAGGGTCCACAAAGGGGAACAGAGGGAGCATAAGCTTGCATACAGAAGAATGGAAGGGACCACAGTGACATGTGGAGGAATAGAGAGTTCATTGAGGGGATCTGAATGCACACAGAATTGAATTAATGGTTTTGATGTGCCCTCTGATGCTCCCCAGGGTCTTTTATTTGCCCTCTGGTGCAATGGAGAGGCTTCCGTTTGGTCCTCTTGTCCCTTAAGAATCACTCCATTTACCTTGTGGCAAATGCACCTTCGGCCGCCTCTGATTTCCCTCCTGTACACCTCAGACTCCTCCGTTGGCCTTCTGGTGCCACCTAGAGTCCCCCATCTTCTTTGCAGTACATCCCAGTGTCCTACATCTGCTTTCATTTTCATGCCAGAGCACTCCGTATGCCTTCAGGTACTCCCCAAGCCCTCCACTCCCTTCTCATACACCCTGTTTCCCTTTGCAGATCCTGTCACCCCGGAGACCCCGGCAGGGTTTCTGGGCAGCAGAGACCTCTTTGTGCAGGATGCTCAGTAGAAAGTCAGGATAAGACTCCAGTCTGGAGATAGTGATAGTCCATTGCTTGCTGGGGCCACAGACCCAGCATGTTTGCAGAGATAGGGAAGGTCCGAGGTCAAGCCTGGAGGCCAAGTCAGCGGGTCCCATCAGGGGCAGAACTGGAGGAATGAGACTGGGCATAGACATAGCTGCTGCACAGCTGCCATGTAGCCAGTGGTAAAGGCACAGCTTAAAAGCAGATCTCCAGGGGAAGGAAAAACAGGCCGTCACTTCTAGATTTTTTTCATGATAGCCCTTTTCAGTGACAAAGCTGACTTTGGACATGGCCAGCTAAACTTCTTAACTCAGTGAACTACACTTTCAGAAGGGGGAAAAGGACTCAAGGGTGCTGGCATCGTCCTGCCTCCACAAGCAGTAACATGGGAATCTCTGGAACTGTCCATGCAGAGCCCTGTGGCAGGGGAAGCAAGCCCTGATGGCTCCTGGGGCCTGCTCCTGCCTTGGGATCTGGGTCTTCCCTTCCTACAGGGAAGCACAAGGATCCCAAGTGCCAGTTAAAGACAGGTTTGTGCTTCCATAACTGGGGCCAAAGGATAGACTCTCTGGGAGCCCAAGTGTCATGGTTACTCTAAGGTCTCTTGGATTATGGCCCCACCGTGTGTTCTTCTCCCATCTGTAACAGTCACAGTGTTTGGGGTGGGTTGGGTAAGGGTCTGGGTGCTCTGGGCAAATTCAAAGGCCACAAACCTATGGGAGGCTCTTGATTCAACTAGAGGATTGTTTTGGAAGGTGTGCCCATCTAGGAGGGTGAGGGTAGAGAGTAGTGTGATGTGGGACCTTAATAAGCGTGGTCTGACCAGCCCCTCTTTGCTGCCATTGAAGTAAGATGTTTTCTGGCACTGGGGAAACAAGGGGTCTGCTGAGGCAGGTGGCAACGTGATGGCCTCTCTTGCCATCTCATTGGGATGTGATGGCAAGTTGTGAAAGGACCTCTTGAGATCACCTGGTCCAACCCCCTCCTCAGGAAAGGTCAGTTACAGCAGGCCACCAGGGAAAGTGTCCAGTTGAGTTTTTAATATCCCCAAGGATGCCAGTGTTTGGTCACCCTCACAGTGAAAAAGTGTTTTCTCATGTTCAAATGGAACTGCCTGTATGTCAATTTGTGCCCATTGCCTCTTGCCCTGGCACTGGGCACCACTGGAAAGAGCCTGGCTCCCACTTCTTCATTCCGTGCCTTCAGGTATTTATTTATATTGATAAGACCCCTCTCTGAGCCTTCTCTTCACAGGCTGAACAGTCCCAGCTCTCTCAGCCTTTCCTCAAAGGGGAAATGCTCCAGCCCCTTAATCATCTTCGTGGCCCTCTGAGGGGAGGATGCAGGATCCCTTTGATCTTGTTTTTTTTCTGGTGGCTGTTCCTGTCTGTCTCAGGGAGGACAGAGCATGGTTCCACCAGCCTATCTCTTTCTCAGACTCCCTGATGCTCCTTAACCTTTCTACTTCCTCTCGTAGCTCTGCCACCAGGCTGAGCAGATCGCCCACTCGGTCATGCCTCACACAGCTGTTCTCACTACTGCCATCCTTATCAGTGAAAGGCTCTGGCACACCCTGCAGCCTCAGGCCTGGACGGCTGTATGTTTTCGTGGGAGCTCTGTCTGGGTTGCCACATACATTCTGGTGAGTGCAGAGGACATGGCTTTCTGCCAGGTGGATACCATAGCTAAGCTCGTTCTGAGAGGGTGGTGACCACCAATGGGACTCACCTCTTGAGCTGGTAGGGTGATGATGCCCTTCCTGTGCGCACTTCCGCACAAACTGCCACACAAACTGCCACGCCACACCCTGGCTGACATGCCACACTGTTTGCCCGCTCTGTTTGCAGTGCTCGTGGCTGCTAGTCTGCTTTTTATAGGTGTGGGGGTGGCCGCGGTTGCTCTGGCAATGCCTAGGCCTCATCAGCATCTCTCATGAGAGCTGTTGGCTGCCAGCGGGTCTCTCCACTGCCATGGCGTTTCCCTGCCTCAGGAAACCACCCTGTTGTGGTGGGTTGACCCTGGCTGGATGCCAGGTGCCCACCAAAGCCGTTCTGTCACTCCCCCCTTCTCAGCTGGACAGGGGAGAGAAAATATAACAAAGGGCTCATGGGTCAAGATAAGGACAGGAGAGATCACTCACCAGTTACCGTCACGGGCAAAACAGATTCAGCTTGGGGAAAATTAACTCAATTTATTACCAATCAACCAGAGTAGGTAATGAGAAATAAACCCAAATCTCAAAACACCTTCCCTCCACCCTTCCCTTCTTCCTGGGCACAACTTGACTCCCGGATTCTCTACCTACCCCCCTGCCCAGTGGCACAGGGGGATGGGGATGGGGTTTACAGTCAGTTCATCACACATTATTTTCTGCTGCTTCATCCTCCTCTGGGGCAGGACTCATCACACTCTTCCCCTGCTCCACCATGGGGTCCCTCTCACGGGAGACAGTCCTCCACAAACTTCTCCGATGTGGGTCCTCCCCACGGGCTGCAGTTCTTCACGACCTGCTCCAGCATGGGTCCCTTCCACAGCATGCAGTCCTTCAGGAGCACACTGCTCCAGCATGGGTCCCCCACAGGGTCACAATTCCTGCCAGAAAACCTGCTCCGTGGGCTCTTCTCTCCACAGATCTGCAGGTCCTGCCAGGAGCCTGCTCCAGCGCGGGGTTCCCACAGGGTCACAGCCTCCTTCGGGCACCCACCTGCTCCAGCGTGGGGTCCTCCATGGACTGCAGGTGGATATCTGCTCCCCCATGGACCTCCATGGGCTGCAGGGGGACAGCCTGCCTCACCATGGTCTTCAGCACCGGCTGCAGAGGAATCTCTGCTCCAGCGCCTGG